TTAATCATTTAAACCAATGACTTGATTGGTTTTATAGCAGAAACACAACAATTGATAATGTTTTAATCTAGTTTATAACATTTTCTTGTATTCTATTTAAATAACAGAAACTAGAGTTGCCAGTAATTAGCTGTTGATGCCTCACAATACAATAAGTTGCACAATATTTTTGCACGGTAGTTTTTGTTCTTTACATGAATAACTTTGAAAATCATGAAGTGATTTGAGTAAGACCAGGTTTACTGCTAATCCAAAATTCAACAACGTTCACTGTCACTAAAAGTTGTCGTTCTTCTTGTGCACCTTCCCACTTACTTAGTTCACCATCTTCGCAGACTTGGTGCCATTGGCCCTATCAGATAACACCCACGTTAGCTTTCCAGCTAAAGCTCCTTCTTATCTAACTTACAGTACTTTACTATACTTTGACGTCTCACTATACGATGGCTTACTTACAAACAGGAGCACAAGTCTTTTCCTGCAACTTAAGTTGTCGAGCAAACATTAATTGGGGAAAAGTGTGAATGAGTTTTTGATTAAATACTCCTCTTTCTGTTCTGTCACAGGAAGGTTGGAGATGCCAGTGGAGTCAATGTCCTGCAGGATTGGCAGTATGATGTGCGGTCTCACGACATAATGCTTATCGATCGTTTGGAGTCTGCAGGTGAGTCAGGGTGAGATGTTACCAGTAACACACAGATCTGAGCACAGTGAGCAAGTGCATGTTACATATTTTAAATTGCAAAAGATTTACTTTATTTAGTGGAATACTTTGTTTTTGAATGTCTGCATCTAACCCGCTCCTGCAGGGATTGATGGTTGTTTTTTATCTTCTTTTGTATACGACACTGAAACAAAACCATGTGACAGTGTTACCTGTTTGCTAATTCGTACTTGTCCTCCGTCTCTTCAGATCCTGTTCGTTTGTCGCCAAAGAACTAACCTGCCTGTCCACTCACCAGCTTCAACCACACTGCCTGGATTTGCTGCCAAACCACAGAAACTTCAAGTAAACCTGAAACTCTTTATCTCCTGGCATTTGAGTAATAAACATACTCTTTGATTTCACTTTAAAACCCAGTTTGTCTGTGTCTGCGTTTGGGTCCTGCCTGACATAACACATATTGTATATGTATCTAGTTGTAATCGTAATCCAGGCTCGGCTGCCACCATCCACAATGTGGCCGTGGCCGTGATCCTGGATCTGCAACGATGAGGCACAAGGACTGTGTGGAAGAAGTCAAGTCAGCAACAAATATTGATTCATGAGTTTTGCACCTTCCTATGTAAGTGCATACTATAATTTGACATATTGTGCCTCTAACTTCAGCTTCAAGTTGTTTTCGATCAGGAAATCCACATATCTCTCCTCTTATTCTAAGTATGAAGTCAAATACCATCTCACAATGTGACCAGCAGGGGAGAATCGGCTGGTGGTTGTGTGCACGCCACTCTTAAAATAAATTCTCCAGTGGCACCACTGTTTGTTTCTTCCAATCCCTGCTGAAAGGACTTTGAATAAAACATACTCACATCTCCATCCACCCATTTGCAGGGGTAACCAACAAACCTGAAGAGGGAGAATTGCAGGTTAGTGTAGCTGTGAAACTGAAAGTCAGTAATATGCCTAACAAGACTGTTAAAGACACTGTCCTCTTACCCCTTCCCAATTAAGAATTACCAACTTACTTAGTTCTTTACAGGAACTTTCTAAGGAATTCTTGGAAAGGTACAGATCTGCAAATGTGTAGTTTCATGAAGAGTTCACGTTTTCAAGACCTTCATTACACTTTGTTATATTTTGTTATAGGCCTTTAACTCACTAGAGGAAAGAAACACACATCAGGAACTGAAAACAGCAAAACTGAAGAGGTGATCTAATCATTTAAATGTGTCCTGTATAAAAATAAGCATAAGAAAACAACCGTTTCAAACTGAGAGGGTGGCATCTTTAATCAGTGTTTTGTTGACAATAAAGCAACTTATGTTAGTTAAAATATCAGTTGTGTTGGGAGAGAATTCAGGACAACCAACATATACATACAAGTGAAACAACAACAATGTAAAGAAAAGTATTCACAAACACTTTTTCATCTGTTACACATGAGGCATTCACACAGGACGACACACACACACACACACACACAGAAGCCATTAGCTTTGCAGTCACGAAATCAACAGTCATACTGCCGGTTTAGTCGAGCAGTTTTGAATATTTTCCGTTGGTACAAAAATGGTCATTCAGACAAAAATAATATAACAATAATAATATTATCTGGTGAGGTCGTCTTCCTAACCTGCCCTCTCTGCTTCCAGTCCAACTAACTGTCGTATGTACACGTGAGAAGGCAGTATGGCCGCATTGTTTGTAAAGTAGGTGTTTCTGCCATTGGTCTACTATGTTTTTTTCTCCCTTCATTGTACAAAATAAAAATTTTCTTGAGGTAAGAACCGAGACAGTATCAAAATAGTAAAACCGGAGTTTTACTAAAACGCACCCCATTGTTGAAAAAGAAATAAACAACTGGTTAACAAAAGGGTTCGACAGATAACAGCAGTGAAGAGTTAAAATATAAACAATATAAAATAACCTTGAACGGTGGCGTTTACCAGCTTGTCTGAATTTGAGCAAGTTGGTCTGAGGCGGCGGCGAGAGGTTGGAGTCAGTGACATCACAGGTTTCTTTGGAAAACTATGGAAGGCTGGCGGTGTTAGTGTCCAGGGGGAAACAAGAATAATGACTGAAACTCTGATGTGTGATACGGCTATGCTAGCTGATCCAATGAAGATGTGGACAATGCTACTGTTAATTTGAATCCATGATTTGATGCTTAATAAACAGAAACATCAGAATTGACAGAGAAAAAAAAAAGATCATTACTGCAAAATGGCTGCGTTTTGGCTTAATTTCTAGATAGTGGGAGAAACTGTGGACGCATGGTCCATCTTTATATACTGTTGAGATATTTCAGCCTGGACCAAAGTCGACACTGACGTCCCTCAAACCACAAGAGTTCCATTACTTTTAGTTCCCTCAAACCGCAGCCAGAGATTTGCCTTAAAGAAAAACCTTGGTTTCTTGTGATGTCACCAGCTCCTCGCTCTACTTTAAAGCTCGTCGACAGAAAAATCCTTTCAGTCTCAAAAAGGGGCAGACTCAGTGACGTGACTAAACACACATGCAAACCGGAGTGACACTCCAAGCAGGTGCTCTGAACAGGAAGATGAAATTCTCAAAGATTAACAAAAAAAAAAAAAAGGCATTCACGAACCAGATCCCATCACACCCGGGCAACAGATCCAAACAGGAGTTAAAGTGGCGTCGCTGTGCACATCCACACGTCCCCACTTCTATCTCTGTGTTAGTTTATCTAGAGTTGAGGCAGTGATCCAGGAACTCTGCTCCAACAACTGCCAAAGCACTGCTGGTACGTGTCATTGAGTCTCACTGTTCTGCCTCTGGTTTGGTTTTTATATTACCCCTAAGAAAAAACAAACAAACACACACTAACGTCTTGTCACAATGCTGTGCTTCCTTTCAGAATAAAAGACGGTCAAAGTAAAAGCAAGAGTTTCCTCTGCTCTCTTGTTCAATGAGTACATTTGCATAAAGGAATACTACACTATCCTTTAAAGGAAGAAAGTACACGTACACACACACACACACACACACACGTACACACACGCACGCACACAAAATCAGAGCCAACATTTAATCTTCAATAAACACTTAGTTAAATCGTCTTCATTCCGGTGGAGACGATTTCTGCCATTGGTTACACGTTTGTATTTGAAATTCAAGAGCATCACTTCGAGGTTGCCTACATGAGAAGGAGTTGATCCATCGTGATGTGAATGCACTGAGGGCAGCAGATGATCCTTTCTATAACTGTGGACATGCACCAGTAACATTTTGTGAAGCAGAGTAAAGAAGAGATGTTGATGTTGGCCTCTTGAAACTGTTGATTAAAAGCAAGAAAGATGGGAGGGTGGATTCCTTCATCACCCGTACAGTCTGACACCCGGGCCACACTGGATGCCTGAGGGGTGTGCGTGCATCACAGGATGTCTCGCTCGTCGTCTCGGTGTCCAAGATAGTCGGGGGGGGGGGGCTCCTATTTTGTCTGCGTGCAGTTCACAACAAAATGGACAGTGAAAATGATCTTTCATCTGCCGAATATGTCACAAACATTAATCTGCAGCACTCCCTGTACCCATTTTCAAACACTTGCGTTTCTCTTGTCTGATGCTATTCATTTGTTTTTAGGGTTTTATTTTTTTTATTGAACGATCAGGAGGATTCACAGCTTGGTACTGTAGGTATTTAGTAGAGTATATATAGGGTACTTTTATCCGAGGAAAAACAGCAGTCAGAGCCCCCGCGCAGCAGCTCTGTAGCTGACACGCACAAAGACGTGACGCAACAGATCAGCGACACAGCGCTGCACAAGCACTCAGTGTGGCCCAGGCTTCAGCTGTGACTGGTGGGTGTTAAAGGTGCACCGTTATATTTCATGATCATCCTCTGCATCCTTCACATAAAAGACAAAGCTAAGTAGAATCAGACATCGATTTCTTTACTTAATATTTCTATACATGGGGCGCGGTCACTGATGTGGTGTGGATGTCTTTTTCAGTCAGGAACATTCTAAACTTTGGCTCACCGTGCGTTCACCGCTCATTCAGCTGCTTATTCCAGAAAGAATAACTACAATCTTATTGTATTGGCTTCCTTGTCTGCCTGTGGAAATGTCTGCCGACACGTTATCAGCAGCCGCCTCACAATCTTTACGTTTACAATATGTGCAGCCGATCAGTGCAACGTGCCACCGTTCAAATTTGGGGACAGAAGCGGCAGCGGCATGGAGACGTGAACCTGCGGCTCGTCATTGAAATCAGATCGCTTACTGAACCTCGCACACATTTTATTCGTTCTCTTTTTTACAAGCTCACACTCAAACAGGGGTTTTGCCATTAATCCAGAATTTTCCAAACCCCTCCCCCTCCAGTGGAGAACCAACCAACAGCATTTTCAGAACAAAGGGGTTAAGCTCCTCGAATTTTGAGGGGGTTGTTAGGAACATTTCAGGGGGTTCTCAGGCTTCGGGAGTGGGGGGGGGGCCTATTCGCAGTGCTCGCTTCCTCCATTTTTCTGGGATGACGATGGAGACGAAAAGGTGAAAGGGTTGGATGGGGTGGGGGTTGTATTGGGTTTAGGGTGGGCTGGGTGTTGGGGCTTGGGGAGGTGCTGCTGCGTTCAGTACAGCAGCTCTTCAAGCTCCTTCTCTTTGAGCTTAGCATTGTCTCTGACTTCATCGAATGTGTACGTCTTCACAATTTTCCCGTTCTGGAAGACTGTGTGCAACAGGTCCTGAGGTTGGGGGGGAGGAGGGGGAAAAACAGGAAGTGAAAAGAAGAAAAGAGATAACGTGAGAGAAAAGGAAGGTCAGTGCTGGTGAAATTAACTCCCCTTTACTTCCATGTATCCACTGGGGTATTGAACTTACCACGCCATACTCCTCCAGGTCGCCCTTGCCCTCCTCCAGGGTGACAAAGTCTCCGCTCTGCGTCCGGTGCAGAGACAGACGACCTTTCTTTGACCTCTTGTTTGGATCGGCCACAGGATCCTTGAACACGTTCACCTTTGGCACAAGACATAAAACAAAACCTCATTTAAGGAGAAAGAATTTCAAATCATGGTTAACTGTTAATATATTATTAATTATTTATGTGACTTTTTAAAACCAGCTTTTCTGCTAGTTTCACTAAGTTGGATTTGAGACTTTTTAAGAACATGTAGAGTTGTTCTTGTTTATTAAATTTCAACATAATTAAGATCTACCTAAACATATTTAAAACCTCATATGCTACATTTGAACATTTATTCCACTTTTTAAAGACCCTGCTAAACAACACACGATTACAAAATGGCACTAAAACATAATGGCTGCATTTTAACAGCTTTTAATTGAAGTGTGCAGCGTCCTCACCCCCAGTCCATTGGTGACAACGTAGCTGCATTTGAAGGAGCAGTTGAGCAGATCTCTGGTCAGTTTCTGCAGCAGAGCCCCTCCGGAGCCGAAGGCGATGTTCTCGATGGACCACCTGTGTTGCTTCATACCCTCAACGATCTGTAAAGAAAATATGCACATTCAAAACTCGCTGACGTGTGTTTACTTCTCCCTTTAAATCTTTTTACCATCTGGTGTCAGGTGGAAACGAAGGAGCATGTGTCTCTACCTCTTGCAGTGTGTTGATGTCAACTCCGTCTCCTTGAATGACTCTGATGTAAGGAGGGAGAACCTTAAAACCTTTGGAGTTCTCCGTCGGAGTGAACTTTTTACCCAGGATCTCCAAAACCTGACACAAGTAGAAGAGAGGAAGAGGACGTCAGTAACTTAACTCACGTTAAGATGCTAGTTAAAAGGTAAGAAGGTCACATGATTCCACCTTCAGAACTGTATCGAGTGGGTTTCCTGAGTCTGGTCGAACGACCAACGGAGCATCCGCGCTGCGCTTCTCTATCAGCCCCCGCAGGTCTTCTCCCCAGATCTTCTCGCAGGCATTGTAGATGTCATAGCTGTCGCTAACTATGGATACGGGCACATTGGGAAACTGCGTGATGATGTGCTCAAAGGCATCTTTTTCATGATCCTTTCCCCACGCTGTGATCGTGCTGCGGAGGAAAAATAAGTTCTCTTCAAATACAACTGATCAAACAACAGTATAACATGATGTAGACACCTTCTACGGCTGGTTTGATTTTTATGCCTCTCAACCCAAGCAAAAGAGAAAATGAGCAACGGAAGAGGTCAGTTAAAGTAAAGAGATTCTCTCCATCAGATGACACTGCCACAGATTGTCCAGAAGAGGGCGATGCACTCCAGATTTAGTCTTGGATGAAACCAGACATGACCACATTGAATTTCTTCAGCAATGGTTGAACCAACTCATACACAAGAAGTTTATGGTTTACAGTTATACAGTAAAGCATCAGAGCAAGAGGAACACAGTTAAAAGGAATCACATGAACATAATGATGAAAGCAAAGATTAGTCTATCAGACAAATCTGGTCCTGATGATAGTTTCAGGTTTATGTGCTGAGACCTGAAGGCATCATCCCAAACTACAATGACGGCAGCTGGAATTTTGCTTCTGACAGATTTGACCATTTATTCGTCAGTAAAATTGGACATTAAAGATTAAAACATTTAGTTTGTGTTCATCTATGTTTTCAAGTTTTGATTTTTCTTCATAAGACATCTGTGTTACATTGAAATTTGTGCACATTCAGCTTTTTCCACACACGAGCTTTGGAGGCGACACACCCCTCAACCAGAATCCTCCCTCCCTCCCTCTCCCTTCTACAGCGACATCAAAGTGGAATTTCACCGTGGCTTCTCCCACTGAGGTGGAAACTGAGCAGGCCATTACATAACAGGTTACTATGACGACTGCTGCCACCATCCCATAATGCACTGGTGTGGAAAAGAAAGGTGCACCGGAGCAGCAGTAACTGCCCCAGTGGTCAGGGAGAAGGGAAAAGATGAAAGTGTGCGTGTGTGCAGGATAAATGGATCAGTGCCATAAAACAGCAGAGACGTGAGGGATGAGCACGTCAGGGCTGCGGCCAATGAACCCCCCCCCTCGTCTGGCCAATCACAGGCCCGTTCACAAACTGAGTTAGACGAAGCAGATGATGTGCGAGGGTGACCGAGTTTTAATCAGAGAAGCAAATTAACACCAACCTCAGCCAAGTGCCGGGCACATCATCGCTCCGCATGGTAAGTGTTCAAAGCGAGTTTTCTATTTTGAAAGTCGGTTTGGCTTCAGGAAGAACGAGTCTGCTTCTACAACTGGCTCTCAGCCAAAATGTGGACCATCTCGCCCGGGGCAACGCTGCGAGATGAGTCGAGCCAAAACTGTCCGACGGCACCCACTGCTACTTTCTGGGAATATGTGAATACAGAGCCTAAGCTGTTAATTAACGTTGCGCACAGGAATTCAGCAGCCTCTGTTCATTTATTCTAAAGTCTCTGCAAACTTTGATTATGGCGTTAGAGGAGTGAGGAGCACTCTGGCAGACGCCCACACAACTGGTGTAATCATTTAAGTGGATGGTGCACTACTGCCCTATATCACACTGAAAACGGTGCCACTACAACTTCTGTGGAAGCCAGGAAATACTTTACAACTGAGGAAAGTAGGTGGACACAGGCAGATGTTCTGTCTCCTAGCAAGGACGAAGCTTCAATAAGCCACATTCAATTAATAAAACCTTGACGTGTGTGTGTGTGTGTGTGTGTGTGTGTGTGTGTGTGTGTGTGTGTGTGTGTGTGTGTATGTGCGTACCTGTGTTCTGCAGCAGGCACTGAGAAGCCTGGCACGGGGTCCTTAGTGCCGTAGAACTTCTTAATGACACCGATGCCTGCGACCGTGTCTGTGCCCTTGAAGTTGACCAGATGGGCGGAGGCCCCTATGCCTGCAGTCTGCAAACAGGAGGGGGAAGGGTTATAGCAAAGATGGAGAGCAAAGACGTCCCATTACAAGTTTTTTTATTTAGGGTATTATATTTTAAACTGGCTGTAGTTTATTTCTACAATATTCAGTATTTTCACAGAAAAAAAGTACTCAGAATAATCTGAGTGATGTGGTTAAAAGCTCCGGGGAAAGCTGGTAAATGGATTTTAAATTGGGATTGTGAAGCCAAACTACTGTTGAGTTAAGTTAAGAGATAAAATGCCTCAACAATATTGTATACTGTGTATAGTATATAAGGTTACCTCTTGTGATGAGACGCCCCTGTAGCCAAAGTCATGTAGTTTGTACTCGAGTTTCTCTAAGTTTCCAGAAGTCTCTAACAGGTACTTGGCAAGGATCTTCTTCTGCTCTCTGGAGTTGGTTGCCACAGTGATGGGATACCAGATCTGAACCAGGATTGTCTGATGGAAAGAGAAAAGAAGAAATTAAGTCTTGTCCAGTTCACTGAATATTTAGAGTGATAGATTGTTTCATTGCGAAGCTTCACCTCCTGTTAAAAAGACAAATGACACCACTGTTATCTCAACCTGTGAAGACTCTTCTTCAATCGGAACAGCGCCCCCTGCAGCAATAAGTGGTGATTCATTCTCCTGCGTTCCGTGATTAAATGGTTTTCATATAGAGACAAAAGAAACCAATCTCTGACTGCCTTGTCTCACTCACTGAAGTGAAACACAACTGAACGGTGGACATTACCCATGATCCACGTCTTCATAAACAAGAAGATCTGCCGCTGTCACAAATACACTAAACTCAGTGTATTTATTCTTCAGTGTTTTAAATGTTGGCATATAAAGAGTTCCGAGCTTTGCTCTTGAACTTCCTGGACTTGATTCTGGCGATTTAAGCTGCGACTGTTCCTCAGTCACACACTTCTCACAGGGGATCGGACAGAGGTTACAAGAACGGACGTGGGAATGAAAGCAACACCATTCTCTCTATTCCAAGTCAGTGTAGCATCATAACTCTTTCTGCTATTTTAAGTATAACTTCTAAAACAGCACAACTTTACGTGAGAGTTTTGTTTTCAGTGATGAATGGACAAGTGAATGTCTGGTTCGACCGTCCTGCTTACCGGTGTTCAACTCGTCCTAAAACCCATAACTAACAGGCTCAAAGGGATCAAAAGGCTGCTGAGCTTTCACACAAGACGAACTCTGGGAAAACAACATTCCTCTGGGCCGCATGTCAACTCTGAACCAGAGTCATACACTTCAATATGAAAACAAGTGGCTTATCTGTGCTGCCCACCAACACCTGGAAAATTTGTCAAATACACAATGCAGAGCATACAAAACGTGTCTGTGATAGTCGAGCTATGTTTTTGTCCATACCACTTTCTAAACACAGACACGACATTTTGGAAATTCATCTCAAGTATAAGATGCAGTAATAATTTAAGCAATATTAATATCTGACCATTAACCAGTGTCACCAAAGGGCTTTTACAGACCACTGAACTAGTTAACAATCAAAACAGTCGTTCAATGTGATATTTGCACGTTGCAGTAATACAGTAGCGACAGTGCATCTACAGCAGATTTGCAGCAGGGGGTGCTGTTGTTGAAAAGTAATGGACAAGTCATAGGCTGAATTGTCATGCCTGTCTTTAAGCTGGAGATGTATTTGCTTTCACCTCTGCGTATCCATCATGGCTGCCTCAGGTATACTGCGTCAGTTGTACACGTCCTGAGAAATTAACGTAACGCATCCAAGAGTTGATGTAAATGCCATAATATGGAATAACGTTTAACACTACCGCTCACTCTGTGACTTCTTTTTGGGAATAGCTGACAACTACTAAAACGCAGTAGTTGTAAATGTGTTTGAAACATTTCACGTCTCATATGAAGCCATGTGTGAATAATATGACTCTCAGCCAAATCAATGTGTATCGAATCTCATTGGCATAAAGTCAAGCATGACACTAAGATGTAGAGCGATGTTTCCTTCCTCCCCCCAGGGCTTTAACAAATAGTGGATAAAAAGAAATTGGCCTTGACTCGACGACTAATACTATGCAGTGTGTGTTTTCACCATGTAACCCTGAGCAGGTCACATGCCCCCTTTGACTAATCATAATCTAAACCATAATATGGACTCGTGACTGCCAGAGCAAGGCCAGTGTCCACACACCACACCTACTCACACACACACACACACACCCACACACATAAGGTCATGTGGCTTCATCTGCGTGTTGACCTTTACATGAGTATATGTGATTACATTTAACACGTAATATAACACTATGTGGTCCTGAAGTTTAATTTTCACCAAAATAATAATCTTAATAAGTTGAAATGATAAAGGGATGCATGTAAAATGGGACATGACTGTAAAAACAACATTCGAGAGGAGTGTGTGTTAGTACACACAAACACACACATGCTTAAGGACACACTTGCGTGCCAGCATAGCTCGCCGGTCATCGTCCCAGAACAAAATGGAGGGAGATGAGGGACGACAGAGGAAAAACAAGAGATGCAGAAAATGGGAGAATGTGATATGATAAAGAGAAAAAAGATGACAAAAATAAATAATAGAAATGAGGGAGAGCGAGAAATAGAAAGAGAAACTGACCTAATGACACAGCCCAAGGACAGCAGGCTGAATGCTACAGCTAATTTTACATCAGCCGTGAAGGATGACTGTGTGTGTATGTGTGCGAGTTCATGGATGTATTTATATCGGCCGTGGAGACTGACTCAGTGTGTGTGTGTGTGTGTGTGTGTGTGTGTGTGTGTTTCCAAATTTATCAGGGGAGTTACAGTGTGTGTGCTATCATGTAGCTCTTGGCTGTGCGTGATCCGTGTCAGAGCAGTCCTTAATTTTACTGGTGTATCATTGTTGTCTGCATCATCTTATGCATGGATATGTTTTCAGAGTCAGTAAACATTCGGCCTATTCGTAATTGTAATTAAGACTTTCACATCTGTTCCACTGTAGATGCAGCCTGGACTTTTTCAGACCTTTTTGAAACCACTTGAAGTGAAATTAAAGACTTAACACTCCGAATATATCATAGACGCATGTTCGTTAACTAGCTAGCAGGCCTGCTGGAAAGAGGCTATGCATGATAATTATGGGTGCAGATAAATTATCATCAGATAAATGGCACTGTGCTCTGTCTGCCAGAAAAAGTCGCTGCTCATGACGTCAAACTGCGGCAGTAACTGTCAGCACATGTTCTTGCGATTCTCATGAGGAGGATAACAGTGGACACTTAGGCTAAAAACTTTGTGTAAATGACGCCATTTGAGTCGAATTCGGGGCTTACGGACACTTGGAGGACACCACGGGAGCAGTATGGAGGCATTTCTGTCCTTTTTTAACTTTGAAGAAGTGGTCACCATTGACTTCAATTGTATTGGTTTTGGCTGCAACGCTGTTTACTCCTAAAACCTCCAAAGTGTTTTGTGGCCTCAAAGAGTGGTGAGTAGATAATGAGTGAATTTTCATTTTTGGGTCAGCTGTCTTTAAGCCTGGCAGAGTAGACAGCTTTTTGCTGTGAACCTTTGCAGTGACATGACTACAATAATGAAGACCCATCCAAATCTAAGACATTTTGAAACTCCTTAAGGTCATTCAATATTAAGATTGAATTTAAGAGTTTTTAAAAAGGACCCACAGCCACCGTGATCTAAGAAATACTTTATCGTCATCTGTGGGAGAAGTCAAACAAGATATTGGTGAACACAAGAGAGACAGACAGACAAAAGCATGGGTCAAAGAGAGCCATTACTGCACACGTTAAATGGATTTAGTTCTGCGGAGTCACTGTCGACAGTCTGTTCATGCAGCTTTAAGTTTATGATCCCAGGAAGGACTCGTGTCGTGCAGTAGATCAGTGTAATGTTTGTCCTGAGGAGCATGGAGTGAAAACTACCCACTGGTTGTTTAAATTATCACAGTCTACTTAACAGCTCTGTTTGTGTGTTTTACATGTTTGTCTTCATGGATGATTATGATGATTACAGACATACTTTGGCTTTGTTTGAAGTAAGCTTATTTGCTTTCTTGGCCCCTGTCACGGCACTCATGTTTAATAAGTCAATATGACGCAGGAGCTAACAGAAGGTTAGCTTAGCTCTGCATAGACTGGAAATAGGAGGCTTGCCTGACACTGTCCAAAGGGGATATGTTCAGTTTTTGTCATTGTGTGTTATATAGGTTTTCATTGAAGTAAAAGGTCTGCAAAGTTTAAAAGCCAGGGAGGCGTTGATTTAGGACCTAAATTATTTTTGTTCACTTCAAAAACCACACAAGGATTGTTCTAGCATCCGACTCTGATCTTATCATTCAGTACTGCATGAAATTCTTTGCTGCTGCGTCTCCAAGCGCTGATTGAGCAGTAGCCATGACAGGAATGTAATTCAGCGAATTGAAGCAGAGATAAGCGGTGTCATCGGGCCTACTGCCAACCTATATACTTTATGGCTTTCAAAAAACTATTAAGTGTCTTGTGTAATAAAAGGGGCATAAATGTTGCTAATATCCTTTGTCTTTAATCAATAATCAAATAAAGTGAAACATTAAATCCCACTGATAAGCTTGGGGATAGAAATACGAGGAGCACATTAACATTTATACGTTATATGAGGGTATAGGGGTGGGGAATTTACAACTGCTTTTAATCTGACAAAGCTAATCCACAACTGGAGATGGATACCATTAAAGGAACAGTTCAGCAATTTACTGCTGCGCTTCGTTAAAGATCGGGAACTGAATACAAATAACAACTGTCAAAATCAAAGTAGCAAAGGTGAAATATACTGACTTTTAGGTCATAGTATGTGTCAAGATCCCAAAAAAACATTGGCTCCTACATTACTCACAATCCAAGCACAGCAACACTGAACCGATTAAATTCCCAGGCCTTACAAAAACAATGCTGTGACATGTTTGTATCAAAGGCTTTTCATAGAACGACAAAAACATTATACATTTCAGTGATAGGTGAGAGTACAACACAAAAAAGGTATTTTGTAAAATAATTGGCCTAAAGTGCAGAGGGCCCCTGACAGAACAATACACGTGTATCTTGTGTCACTCTGGGCCCGGAGGATACAGATACACAAAACAAACTCACCTCCACCCAGTTGGTGAGCCAGTAGCACTCAGGATCTGTGCTCTCCACAGTGAACAAAACGTTGCCACGGGGAATGACACTGCCCTCTGGCACCGCCTTGATTTCAATGGGCAAGTGTCCATTGTATTTCTGTAAACACAAAGACAAGAAATTCACAAATATCCCATTTACCAAAGCTGTTCCAGATTCTTATCTGAGGCTTGTGTTTAACGTTATGAGATTTTATGAATTCTGAGAAGAAAATGTCAGTAAAAACTTCAAAATGTGTAGTTTGTTGGTGATTTTTTAAATGTTTAATACTGGAGGGTAGCTTGATTTGATAAGAATATAGGCAGGCATATAAAAGCATTTGCTTCTGAGCCTTTTCAATCAATCACTTTTTTAAATCATATCTTGAAATGATTCCGTTAAAACTTTAAAAAATTAAAAATTCCTTCATTTCAAACCTGGTCTGAAGAAAATGTATTTTAAAATTTAAAAAGAATCAAATATCCATTGACTGAAAGAAACTGTAGTTTATATTACAATACATACCACCTTCAAAACTGAGGAACATTGCTGTGCTTGATGTGGATTTGTGTTTATAGATTTTCAACATGTAATACAGTGATTTCTACAAAAAGACTGTTGGCAGATTGACAACCGGCTTTGACAACAATTCTAAGAATTGACAGCATAAAAAAAACTTCATTAACATTTTTTCTCAATTGAGAAAATACTTTGTTGGAACGGAGTGCCGTGCTCTCTCCATGGTGCTGAAACAGAACCTCTCACTGATTAATCTGACTTTATTTTTTTACAGAATTTCTCTTGTCTAATGGACGACCACAGCAACAGGGATGCAACTGTGTGGACATTTTTATTTCAGTTACATATTACGCCAGACATTTGATAAGTAAAGACTAAGTAAGATTTCGCTGATGGCAGTTTCAGATTTCTGATGCTTTTTAAGTTATTAATTACCCAGACTGTGACAGTCCACATCTCTTCATAAAATGAATTCTTTGTAGAGTGCACAGCGCTCTGCATCGAGGTCTCTTGCTCACTCACTTGCTCTCTCTCTCTGACCAAGTGTTTAACATCCCTTACCGTCGAATCTTCATCATCCTCATTATATTAATATTAGTGCTACCAGTGATTCACAAATAGGTTTTATGTCTATAAAAAATGAAAAAGACGATGTGGCCAGTGGGCAAATTATGTAATCCGTATGTGCCTGACAGACTACCATGGCAACCCTGTACAGTACAAGATATGGTCAAAATGTGATTTATTTTAGCATGCAAGCTTACATGCTTACAACTTTTCACAAAAATAGTTTTTCACGGCCAAATAAACTTTGAAAAATATACAGACTTGTTTGCCTTTGGTTCAAATGTGTTTTGTGGAATGGCAGAGCGTCATCTAGAATAAAGATTTTTAAGTTTTAACAGTCTATTACCTCCAAAATGTAAGTCCAGCCTTTCTCGTTGAAAACATCATCCTGGAAGTGTTCTCTGTATACTTCCTTTGCCTCCTGGATCTTCGCCGGAGTCACAACCTTTCCTACATGGGAGAAAGGACGAAGGAGAAGGAAGAAGAAAACTGAAATATGTGAAGGTATGAAGCATGATGTTAGAGAAACACACTCACACACAGAGCGTGAGACAGAAGGAACTGGAATGCGTCTCTACTGTTAGGGTTAACATGCTGACAAGTGTTTTTTTCCGCACACGCACCTTCTTGTGTCATTTCAAGTTTGTCCAGTTTCTAGACCATGGAAACTGTTACACAAAACAAATCGCCATAAATTGCAGAACCAGTTTTTTTATAAATGTACTTAACTGCTTGTGTTTGTTTCCATCTGTGTTTTGAGATTGTTCAACGTGACAAGCTTTGACAAGCAGCAGTTTCTGAAGTGATAACATGGTCTGCTACCACAGAGAAAATAAATTCACGACAAATGAAAAAATGTATTAGTGCAGAAATAAATCAGGTAGCAAATCTATCACAGGAAATAACTGCGAGACGAATGAGAGAGCGAGAGACAAATGAAGTCGCTACAGTAACTCAATCAGCTGACTCGTGGTGACAACGAGCAGTCTGCAGACAAAATAAACATTTTCATAAACAGCCAAACACGGTAACAGTGTCAGACGCTACTCTTTCTTCAAGAACTTTTTTTTTAAACTCATTAACCTGGTTTGGTTTTGAGCACGTGCTCACTCTCGGCCAGAGAAAGAATGTGAAACTATTGAATGTGAGAATTTCCGTGAACTCTCCAGTAGCCTCTTATAATAGGGTAGCTGTAACCAGACGTTCTGCTTTCACAATGATGTTTTCTTTGTGCAAGGAAAGGTCAGTCACCTGAAAAAGTAGAGTTGGAGAGGATTAAAGTTCACTCTCTGACGAAACTCTAAAAGAATCCCGCTGAAAACTTTTGCTTTCCGTAAGTTTGAGGATCAAGGACACATCGAATGGCTGGCCTCATCAGTGAGCTCAGAGGGACGCTCTGCGCGGACAGCTTGCGTTTCTCCCTCAAACGGTTAAAGAGCAGCTGTGCTTTTGTCTCCTCTCCCTCTGTTACCCCTGCCTCTTCACGTCTCCCCCGCACCTCTGCCACAGCACCGTGAAATCCTCTTAGGGGAACGTGAGGGAGAGGCATTCTTTCTTTGTTTCGACTCCTTCTCTCTCCATCGCTCCCGCTCTCTCTCATGCCCCTTAGAGTCACACTGACAAATTTCAACATCCACCTTTACTAACTTGCGCTAATTAGAGCACAGAGTTTATTAGCATTTTGCCTCTTTTCCTAATTACTCTTTTTTTCTTGTGAACCTTTGGCTTTGTGCTATGCTCTGTAAAGTCTGTGTGAAGTACATCGTAACCTTATTGCTTCTTTAAGTGAGTAAAAAAGGACTTTTGCAGCGGGACACAATGGTAAGCACCTTCCCTGCTGATGTGTCCTTGAGCACTGCGCTAAATCCAGAGGAGCTCCACGCATGCTGACCCTTGTTCTCTGACCTTGCTCTGGAGAGGGGAGAGACAATAGGAGAAATCTCTCCCACAGGGAGCAATAAAGAATCACAAAAGGCTCCACAAAGCTTGTTGTGTTGACTTTATCTACATTTAGTGAAAACTTACAGGTTGTGTGCCGTGATTAAAAAATGAAACTCACTGGAAAACAGTGACAAAAACAACTTATTCACACAAACACCCCGAACAGTTGTCAGCGGAGGGGGGTGTTTCATATTGTCAACCCTACAAGCTGCACAGTTATTAAGTCTGGCAGCCAGTGGAGCTCCTGCTGGGCTGGAGGTCAAAGCGTCAGTGTCCTCCTCAAGGACACTTTACTTCAATCACTTACACAGCATATTACAGGATGTTAAAACTTTTCTGGAAATTTAAATCCGAGTCAAGAACTCACCCTTCAGGTATTTGTGGAGGATGTACTGTAAGCCGTAGAAGACGGTTTTGTCATATTTGACTTTCCTGCTCTTGGTGGGGTCCGTCCTCTTCTCACGGCACTCGAAGTAGGAGTACACTTTACTTGTGTTGGGAGGGTACTGTTTGTAATGTGTAACCTGGAGAGACGGGGAACAAAACGGCAAGAGTGGAAAAGTTAGAATGATGAGGATAACATCACAAATTTACCAAACACACATACGAAGTGATGCTAGGTGAACAAGAGATTAATCCAGGTCTATATTTAAATAGCTGAGCATCACATCGTAGACTAGTAGATGGACCACATGCTCCATTTTCTCCCCCATCCAGAAATTAAGCCAAAATATCCAGGATGCAAACGCCACCGCCAGAGTCTATGCAGTAGTAATTGGGGGATGGAGCAGTGGTATCAAGTTCTCGTCAATACACGCTCACAATAATACTATACTAGTGGTATCTACTAATTAAACATCTTGCATAGATTGTGAAATACCTTTAAGATCACATCACACATTCCACTTTTCAATTTGATCAATAACATAGAGAAGTGTAATGTCAGAGCAGGTTTAGGATGTATAGTTGTAGTATAATAAAACATTTCAAAGGAGCAAATCAACTGAACTGAAGTGTTCTGAAAAGCTGCAGTCCAAAGAGTTCTTCAGAGCTACGACACAGAGTTTAAGGGAAAATGTCGTTGTGGTATTTTAGCTGTGATTGCATGAAACATTACAGCTCAGCAAAGGACACATGACTCAAGTCATGCTAAAGTGTCACAACCACAGAGTCTGAATGTGCCCAAACAGACAGGCCCTCCCTTGTCCTGATGGTATGTAATTATTCAGGTTCAATACCTCTAATCTCTAATCAACTGACAGATAACTGACATTTCCAAAGAAAAAGCAAAGTTCGTAAGACTTGTCCAGGCAAGATACAAAACTCACAAAAAGGAAGAAGGTGCACATGAACTGCATCCACCCATCGTTCGTGAAAATCCCTGGATTAATTTGGGATTTAATTGGAGTACACTGGGGCATTTGAGGATTTAACCCTCATCACGGAACCGCTTATACCCACTGAACCTATCTTTCAAGGCATTAGTGGAGTGGAGAAATAAGGAGCAGGCAACATTCGACTGTGGCCAAGTTTGGTGACTCAGCACAACGTCAAAGTATCATAGCTGTCATTTGGGTTATATTAGCCACCATAAAGGGCACAGTGGTTACACTGGACTTTATACATGCTAAAGTATTAAACTGTAGTAGTATAACACTGGATATAAATGATTCATAAACTTTCAGTCTTATCTGCTTTCAGAAGAAGAATTAAGTAATTTATCAGTTTCCTCAGGAGAAAAGGAAAACACAAGGTGTAATACAGGTCATGGGCTCGTCCTTCATTTGACTACAACCTTGGAAAACAGAATTACAAGAGGGTGAAAAATGTAATAAGAAGAGAAGTGAAGAGGATAAATGTCAATGAACTGCTCAGTTTCTTTGACCCGTCTCTGTCCTTTCCTCAGGGGCATTTGAGGACTCAAAATAGAGTCAAGACACACAACATGACACTAGGCCGGACCATGTGTGTGTGTGTGTGTGTGTGTGTACACATGCAGGAGTGCGCATGCCAATGTATACACACAAACACTGTATTAACTTCACAAACCCAGCATCACCACCAGCACTTGATTGCAATCATTCGAGGATAAGGATATCATTAATTTATTATTGAATAAAGACGAGCCAGACTGTCAGTCAATAGATAGTAAATCATACAGTGTATCTGCTTATAAATTATACAGTATGTAGTCTTGATTATGTGGCTCCACTTCAGGCAGTTCAGTCATATTTCAGTGGGAAATCCATCCATTGTCTAGTACGGACACAAATTTATTGGCAGATCAAGACCAGTCATTAATGCTGCACAAATTAATATGTCTACATTAATAATTGTTAAAATAGCTGTTTGTATGGAGTTGATGGTAATAATGAACCAGCGGTTCCCCTCAGCGCTATCAAAGGTTTTAGCATCTTTAATCTTGTTGGTTGGTGTTTCTGGCCGGGCCCAGCCCACAACTTTACTGATTTGGTTTATTCAAAACTATTCAAACACCTTATTACAATCTGCTCCACCGTCATCAAGTTTGTTGTTGTCAGAAACTCTTGAATTTGTGCTGCCCTCTGGTTGATGCATTCCTCAACAACAATGATGTAAGGACGGTCAAATCGTTTTAAATGGACATATCTCTTTGCATATGTGAAGGCAGCATAAATGAGCTTACAGACAATTTTTTGCCTGAGCGGAAGTTTCTTTTAAAATACAGTTAAATCTGATCTGATCTCAGCTAACGCAATGTAATTTAAGCTTTTATTGTCAATGAAATATTAAACCAACTTCCTCCCGGAGGCTTCACTTTAAAACCATGGCGATCTTATTCAGCGGGTAATACAATGACGGAAGTTACAAACACAAAACAAACAGCTGCTCAGTTCAGAAAGTTGAAATAGAGTCAGCAGTTCTCCATTTATTTCTCCATCCTTCCTTTAAGAACTCACGCCTGTGCCTCGAACATGAGATAGCACTAAGTGGTTGTGTCAAGGAAGTAACAAAAAAAAAAAAACAACTAATGTGGCGACTACAGGACATTTTCAGGTGCTGACCATCTTTCCAAGCAGGACAACATCTGAAGCATGCAGCAGCTGCTTGTGTGGCAAAACCCTTAATGGTGCCATCTCATTACCTAAATGTCACAGGATCAACCCTCACTGTCGCAATTCTGCTCATTGAGAAAGGCTTTAATATGAAATACTGGACCATTTCTTGCTTAGTCACTGTAGTTCTCTGGAAAATCGTTACGGTGACATATTTGTACACACCCTGTAGTATGTTCAAATCCGAAACACAAAGGCATTAAGGTGTAGCTTGTTTTTAAGTCCAGTGAACTGAGTCTTTGCATCTGGTGGGTCTTACTCATCGCTTTACAGAGGGTTATCTCACGTAATATGTTGTGGTTCAAGGTTTGTCTTTTGTTTTAGGTGGGACAATAACGGTATCTCCAGCCCGGCATGGCAACAAAAACGCACTTCGCTGGGCAAAGGCACAGCATGCAATTTGATCTGAGTCAAGTCAAATAGTTTTCAGCGCTCATTTAACCTGAGCGTTGAAAACTATTGTTTTTAACCTTTAAGTGCAAAATTCTGCTTTAAATTTCATCTTTATCACATGTGCAAAAATATGTTGTTCAGGCAAATTTGTACTATTTGTACAACAAAGCACCTTTCCTTCCAAAGAGGATGGTTAACTAGACTTGTGCCACTCAATTATGACATTTGATATCTATTTATTTGCAGATTTTTACGTTTATATATGATTACCTACAATAGTAATAGCTAATGCGTCAGAAAACCAAATTGCAGGTTACAACTAATGGATAAACAACAGCAGCAATGTCCCTTCATTAATAAACCGTCAGTTATTTTTATATAACATATTTAAGACAAGTACACATCCACAGGGAGTCATGGGATTTTTCTTTACTCAAGACAAACCAACAGTGGTGTCTCATAGTTAACACTTTGTTCAGTTTGTTAAATTCTTCCCCCAACTGTAATAAAAGTATAAATATGACTGAAACAACATGAAAGTGAATCCCTAAGTATTCTCTTCCAAGAAATTAAAACTGACACTTGCAAATAAAACACAGGGGGGAAATCCAGGATCTGAAAAAGAAACAAAAACATCTCACTGAAATTTCCAACTATGAAAAAACTACTACTTACAAAATAAACTCAAAATTATGTTTGAAAAATCGATTTTATGAATGAGATGAGATGATGAGCATCTTTACCACCACCAAGGACAGTGTGTTTTTCTGTATATTTGTCTTTTAGTAAACAGGACTGTGCAAAAACTGCTGGACAGATTTCCCACGAAACTTGCTGGAAGGATTCGGGTGGACCGGGAAAGAAGCCATAACATTTTGATGCATATCCAGGAATTTTTTTCCCCTCACTTTCTTTGACAATGAGCAATAGACGATGAAATGAATCAGTAATGTTTAGTCGACTGATATTAATGAATATGTGCAATGATCAAAATAAAAAACCTGGATCTAGTGAATTTAAATGGCTTCATAAGGGGGCTGTTGGTGGAGGTATGAGATCTCTGAGGGACATTCTAGTTTAAAATATATATTATATAGATATAAAAGTATAATTCCTCGGTTTCTGCGACTCTATCGGACGATCAGCACAATAAATACACACTGACAGGTGTAGTGTTTTTAAATGTGGTTTCAAAAAGTTTAAACCTTTGCCTTTAAACTCACGAGGACTGGACTTAATCTCTTTCCACTGTGGTTCCTGTGACCACACACCTTTCAGTTATGCTTTGATTCAGCTCATTAGTTAAATATTGACATGCATCCTTTCAACCTTTGCAAACATTGCAACACTTCCCGTCCTTTGGTGACACGAGGCTACATTTCAAAGATCAATTTTCATTTCAATAGTTTCAGTCTCAGTCTGATGCTTTCACTTTTGATCTTACATAATTAACCTCCTCCCAGTCCCACCACCAGTATCTGTCCTGCTTGCAGTCATTAGCATCAGGACCATTCACTATATTTACTTAGTAGAGCTGCTTATGTAAAAGAACCCTGGTTGTGTACATGAACAATTTCATCACAGAAGATAAAATGACTCATTTAACTTTCGTTTGTTCTTTTCCTTTGCAGTGATGCATGAACGCGAGCAGCGGTGAGCTCACCCCGGGTTAACATGGCGCCTAGCCGGGCTTTAGAATGACATTTCAGCCCCTGTGAGGTCCACCGGGCTGCCGTCACAGCACTTGCTAACCTGTATGGCTAACACTAGCTTTTTTTTTTTTTTTTGCAACAACAATAGCC